TGTTTTTTGTGTTCATCCCACTTTATTAAATAAGTCAAAGCTCTGATGCAACTCACTACTTTTAAAGACCAACAAACAATCTGCACCAGCAGGCACAAGCCGCTGTAATAAAAAGGCATCTGAGCACATTGAAATGTACAGTTTCCCACACACACAAACACACACACACACACACACACACACACAACAACTGAACCAATCGTTTAAGGCCTCTGAGGCCTCGATAAGCCTCTGTAAATCAGCCACCATCCGGTAGTGAGTTTTATTCCCCCTCTCTCTCAGTGGATGTTGGGTTATGACCCGTAGGCAGGAGGTTATTTATTGCTTTAGTCTCAGCTTGTGTTGACTCCCAGCCACTCATCTATGGTTGGAGGCTAATAGAAAGCAGCACAGGGTTGTAGATCTGCAGGAAGCCCGCTCAGCTACAGGGACTCGGCTCGATAGTCTCCTCCGAGCCTCGTTTTCCCCAGGTTCTTAATGTCTCTCTATTCCTCAGCTTTCTGCCTCTACTTGTTTTATTTTCCGGTAATGATCAAATCAAAATGAAAACCTGCGAGTGAACCTGAGGTGAATGAGTCCTTATCAATAAGTGTTGAATGAGGAAAAGAGAAAGGAGGGTTAGAGAGCTGAGAGGAGGAAGCCTGCAGACCGTAAACATTTCCCAGAGCCTGCTGGCAGAGATGATAGACAGCCTGCAGCCTGCTGCTCTGCCTCTTTCTCCAGCACATCACCAAAACGTCTCTATTCTCTGAGACGACTGCCTCCTTTGTAATGGAAACTTGGGGTGATATGTTGGGAAAGAATGAAAAATGAAACAAGCAAGTAGTCAACGGCGGAAAATGGATGGACAGATGCCTCTATCAGAAATTGGTCAAGATCAACCTTGGAACTCATCAGCTATCATCTGATGATGATATAACCTCTGGGCATGATTGGCAACTTTCCAGGTCGTTTGGTGTAGGCGAGGGTCAGCGGTAAAGGACTTCTGGCCAAGACTTCCTCTTCATTGCCTTTGTTTATGGTGCAAAAAAACTACTTGAGGAGCGAGAGTGGGGTTGGTGTTGAGAGATTACACTTCAAGAGGGTTGTTATCTTCACTTCATTCAGATATCTGTTTAAAGTCATTAATTAAAGAATCATCAGATGAACTCCGAGTGGGGATGGGTTGGATAACAGAAGAAATCTGAACATACAGTATATCTGCAAGAAATCCTTTCAAACTGGTTAATGTCCCTCAAAAATGAAAACAGCAAAAGTTAATACTATTAACAAAAGTGGAGAGAGACATCTATTTTCAACTACAAACCAATACCTCTGCTTTCCAGGTTTTATAAAGTGTAAGATAAACGTTTTAGTCATAGTTTTGATAATTTCATAGAAAAGTACTATTCTACGACTCAAAAACAATTTAGATACCAAATCCTGTCCTGAGCCTACAGATTCTGCATTTTCAGGGAAGGAGAAAAAAGCAAACACACAAGACCCCAACCCCAAAACCCTAACCCATCTTAATCACATCAGCACTTCATCGTTGATAAAACTTTTTCATCTACTATGACTGTGCAGTAACTGTTATTTAAGCATGTGATTTTGTGCTTCAGTGTTTTTTGTAATATAGTGCCTTCACTGTGTTTTTTGTGTTTAGACTTTGTCTCGATGTTGCTACTGAAGAACTGCTCAACTGCCTTTTGTTGTTTTTTATAAAATTGCCAAAAAAAAGCTTTTTAATTCATAATCTGTGTATATAGAGTAATTACTATAAAAACTGTCTGGATCGGGCATCATGACAGAAGGTCTGATCTGGGGTTGATCTATTCAATCCAATTGCCTTTGACTTATACATTGAGGCACGACATCCTGTGTCAGACTGAAGTTTCAACTTATTTTGAGGTATTTCATTGCTTGTTTCATTCTTCAGCTACCTACAATATGTAAATGCCAAAGTTTGTTTGGGTGGTGGTATAATGTCAAAACAATAAATAATACTGAATCAAATGTGCTTGCATTAGTTGTGACTTTATGGTGTTCATTTGTTCTCATTTGATGCAGTCGTATTGTTTCATACTGGAATTGTATTTTTCTGACCAATTTGTTGCTGCATGTAAAAGGTTCATTCATTAATTACAATTCTGGTTAATTTAAAGGATTATTAAAAAAAATGTTGCAAACTGCAAAATAATCTATCATTTTAATATTCCTGTATAACAAAATATTTATGTCTCAACTTGTTCCTTTTTGTTTTACAGGACAAGGAAAAGTCTGATCTTGCCTCTTGCCTTCTATAAAAGAAGGACCCTAGTCTCCTCCTACAAAAGGGCATCCAGTTTATAAAATAAACAAAGCTATCTGATTGGTCCTCTTGGTACTCTTTATTAGCCCATAAAAAAAGCCCAGGAATCATTATCTGGAACAAAAAGGTCTGATCTATGCATCCCTATCCAGAATGACCCCAGCGCTCTCTTTCACTTTCTTTCTTACCTTCACAAAGCAGCTGTGAAAAAATCTGAACAAGGCTGTCATCCTTCAAAATGCAGCGTCTAACCCAAACTGGCAACACAAGCCTCAGCGTGGTTTGAAATACTGGCCTACTTGCCATTTCTGCAGTGCTGACAGCAGCTGACAGTTCAGAGGAACAACCACAGACTGAGGATATATGAAGGGGTCCTTGAGTGATGACAGCACGGCTAAGATGGAGAGTGGTGATGTAATGGAGACAGGGCCGCTGACGGATACTACGAGAGAGGCCAGTTTGTCTGCGGCGATTCAAAACCATTCATATCCAAGATGTATGTGTAGAAGCAACAACACTTAATAGAATAATCCTACTCCTGTGTCAGCTGTTTGTATGAGCAGTGCCTGCGTGCGTGCGTGCGTGCGTTTAGAGAATGGTCAAATAGTGTACAAATGGTCGACTCTTGTAGAGTCACATATAGAGACGTCTCTGTGGCTGAAAAATATATAACGTTATCAAACTAAATCCATTCCCTGGCATGAAATATGAAACTTTTTGTCCTTTGAACATCCTGACTTGTATATTACTTTGAAAGAAAAACAACAATAAGTCTTTAATGTTGTTTTATGAGGAAATAAAACCATTTACTATTCTGTCACAGGCTGCAGCACCAAGGTTTTTTTTTTGTTTTCATCAAGCAGAAACCCCCGTTGTTCTTCTTAAGTGTCCCCATTAGGACCCAAGTAGGTCAAATAAACATGTTTACAGTCCGGTTCAAAATACAGTTGTGGTCTCAAATGCAAAGTTCTTTAAAAAAACAGGGGGGGGGGGGGGGATGGGGGGGGGGGGGGGAATACATTTTTATAAGTCACCCATTTTGATTATGAAAACTTAAGAGGTTTGCATAATTAGGCATTAGAATTAGTACAGCTGAATGTCCTTATTTGTAGCTGTTTGCGAGGAGGCTAAGCTTAAAATCCTAATAATGAACTTTAAGGTATAATATGTGACATTTTAAACATTATTAAATACACTAAAAACAAAGAAAAGTGCAACATCTCCTGGACATCTACTCTGACAGTCGCATATCATCCCTTTAAACTGTTGGTTTTGTTCATTATGATATATCGTTTGGAATATGTTCGCTAAATGGAAAGCTGGAAAAGCTAAATGTGCATGTTTCAGCAACTAAGAATAACGATAGATCACCTCTTTGTCTGCTGCTCAATTAGCCGAAGCTAGGAGGAGTCGGCATTTCCAATATTGCAACAATCACCATTGGGCTTCATAAGGCCCTCTTCAAAAACCAATGGGTAACATCACTGAATCAACATCCATGCAGTCTTTGTTTTTTTTGTAAGTTTCTTTTTCTCTTGAATCCCTCTCACAATGGATCTACTGATACATTTACATTTCTACTGATACTGATTTTTACATCAATTCTATCAACAAATCAAGAGCAGTCACCGACTTCATTCCTGTTTGCTAGTAATGTTCTGCATATTCATTTATTCATCCAGGGATCTGACATCAATGAAGATTGGATGTATGCATACAAAAAGAGTATTCCTAAAGGGGGGAAGAGAGCTGATGGAGTCATCTGATCTGAAAATAGTTCCTTCACAGCGCAGGTTTGTTTAACTGTATTTGTGCACAAACGATGATGGCTGACATAATAAATCTATTGTACTGGTGTTGGAGCAACAAAACAAGCACATTTCTCTCTCCCTGTCTTTCAGGTTTCATGTTCAGATTTGTTTTAGTGTTTCTGGGAGGCTGCTGGGTCCTATGCTGAGGTTATTTTTCACTACTGTTGGCTTTTCTGCTTGTGGGCAAATAATCATAGGGCAAGGTAGGGTCTTCAACAAAATGACCCAGTTTAGAAGTAAAACAGGAAACATATTTGAGACACAAAAATCTTTGTTTTGTAGAAACAGCTACAAAACTAAGAGAGATTCAGACTTATTATTATTGTTATGTCATAAGACTTCAATAAAGATAGATAGATAGATAGATATGAACTTTAACCTCTAGCAGATTAACATTAAAACACTTCTACTGTCTCTTAACACTGCATTTACACCATTCTGCAGTCAGTTTCAAACAACTGGGTAAAGTCACAAGTAAAACATGTTATGGACAGAATGAGGATGATTTGAAGTGATTAATTTTCCAGTTGCAGTTCAAGAAATGCAGTTATATTATGGAGTGTTGGGTGTGTGCACCTCCATAGGCTCAAGACAATGTGATGATTTGATGTAATGCCACTTTTTCAGAGTAAGGTATTGACACAATATCTTTCTAAAAGATGGGACATAGATTAAAGGATCAAATATAAATGAATAAAAATCTCAAAAAATAAATGCCTCATGCATGTGAGGGCTTAGGGATTGGTTTGAAGCAAATGTGTTGTGGTTTTTGGCCACAAGATTTCAATCTGACTGAACCGTGGGAGATTTTAAAAACTCAGGAGGATTGTTACCATAAGCCACTTGACGATGGAGTAATTGAATGAGTAATTTGTACTATTGACCTGTATAACACAAACCTTTTTACAATGTCCGTCCCATTCCAGCAGGAGAGCCCATCACCAGAAGCCAGCTCGCTCACACACAGCTGATCGGCCAGGCCCCCGTAGTACGTTCGGTAGAGACGTAAACTGTTCAGGAAGTCCCTGAAAAAGGTGTCAAATTGCAGCTTTAATGAACTGAAATCCTAAAATGACACATCTCTCTAGGCAACACATCTGTTATCTTTCACTCACTCACCTTCTTTTGACAGCGAGCGAGTCCCCTGACACTCTAACAGGGCCTTTTAGAGGGAGGGACTCTCTACTGCTGCTGTGCTGGATGCTGACTGACTGCACAGGCTTCCTGCTCGCTGGGCCACACAGTTTGTGCACCTATTACCCAAAGAGACACACACAGTTTTAAGTCCAAACACTGAGGGAAAACGTGCTTAATTATTAGTATGGGCATAGTGGCTCAGTTGGTAGAGTCGTCGCCTCTCGACCGGAAGGTTGAGGGTTCAATCCCCAGCTGAGCAACATGTCCGATGTGTCCTTGGGCAAGACACTTAACCCCACATTGCTCCCTTCAGTGGAAAGTATGAATGGATTGTACTTACTCTCTGATGTATGTCACTTTAGATAAAAGCGTCTGCTGAGTGAATTGTAAAATTCACATTATTAAAGGCTAATCTATACTGACAAATAGTCCCTCATTTAAATGTTTGAGTTACAGCTGTTTACTCTAAGGCTATTAGTGCAGCACAGCCTATCATCTCCCATTTCTAATGTAATGCATGTGCGGCCTGTTAGGCTGCAGTGACACACGACGACCACAAGATGGAGCTGTCGTGTCTTCATGACAAATGGAGACATGGTTTGGTTCAGTAAAAGAATCCATTGGGAGAGGTTTCATAACGAGTAAATGTTATGCTGACAGAAAGTGATGCTATTACTTTATGGTTGGATTATCTATGGAGTGTCTGATCCACCTGGATCTGCCCAAACAGATTTCATTTCTAAAGAGTTATGGATTGATCTAACCTGACTAACATATATCTGTAAAGCAATTTATCTTTGGTCTTCACAACATAAGTTTATATGAAAAGTAGCTTGAAGCTGGAACACAAATTAGATTTAAGATCTCTCCAGGGTCGAATAAAATGCTTTTTCATCTACTTTTTTCTTCTTCTGTTTACTCTGTCAGATTCACTGGCGGTACCTGTTTTCACTTGCCCCAAAAAGCCCCCAAAAAGTCTTGCATTCAGGAAAGGGATTTTCGAGGCAGTAAGAGAGTATATACAGGACACATTATCGAGCTTTTCATTCTAGATAGGCAATGTGTGTGTTACACTAAAAATTTCATAAACTACCAGGAATAAAAATGACTTTTTAAGGGTCTTAAACGTGTGTTTCAGAGGGAAGAGATTTCACCTAAAGGGAGCACCAATGGATATATGAGGAGCACTGCGGGAAAAAAAAATCCAAAGTAATTATTTAAAAAAGGGAAACATTGTCAGATGATTCAAATCAAAATCAAGTCAAATCACTGTGTTTCCCACACATATTTTAGGGAAGAAAGAGGTTTTTTGATTGTGGCTCTTGCAGAAATATTTTTTGGTCAATGTGGCTCTTAAGTCTAACCAGCTGAGTACTACTGCTTTACATTAACATTTTTAAAGTATTATTGATGACTGACATTAATTTTGGTTCAGATGGGGGCTGGATTATGAGTTAAGGATGCAGGATGTTACACCATTATTTATCCTTGTGCATATTAGTATAATATACCCACTGAACTAAATCTATCTACTAAGTCGACCTGACCTGTGCTGATAGACGAGGTCCATTTTTCTGAGCGTGTCCAACAGCATCATGAAGCAGCGTGTGAACCCCCAGCAGCACTTGTTCTAAATCCTGGGGTCCCTGCATCCGCGTTGACAGGCCCTCAAGTGAGCGAACAAACTCCCTCCAGTGAGCATCAATCTCTGCCATGCTGGCTAAACAGCCGCGCATCACGTTCAGGCAGTACCCCATGCAGGGCTTGGCCTGGGTTAATCCCTGTAGAGAAAATGACTTTGAGATCAGTGATTCCGGTAAAGACTGTCATTAAGTCTGATCGATAAACTTCAGAGACATGCGTCTGTACCTGGCAGTGAGGACAGTAGTGCATCTTGAGAAGGGCCCGCCTGCATTCTCGGCTCAGCTGCAGGTGGTCGGTGGTGTTGATGACCTCGATGCCAAGGTGAAGTGCTTGAAGCAGAAGCTTCCCAGAGACCCCAGAGCGAGCAATCTGATCTGCCAGGAGTCCTGGCGCTGCACCGAAGGGTCGCACATCCCGCCTAGACAACCTGACACACTCGGCATAGCCCAATGAGATGTCACTGAGGCCCGGGTTGATGAGGTGATTGTAGACCAGCGGGAAGAGAGAATCGAAAAATCTCTGCACCAAGTCATCAACGTTGAGTTCAGAGCCCAGCAGGAAGAGACCGATGTCAGTGAAGAGTTCCTGCACGGGGCCCACAGCCCGATCAGCCATGGTGCGGTACGACTCGTGGAGGATGGTGTTGGTGTAATTCTCTGCCTGCCTCATCAGGACCTCGAAGGTCTCTGTGGAATGGACAGCAGAAAAAGAGAGAGACAAATGTAGAAAGCAAGACAAATGATTACAGCGGGACTTAATATAACGCTATCATTGCAAGGTTGACATTTTTTAAACATCAGCCACATTTTAACACTTTAGATTTCAGAGCGAGACTTCCGTTTCCAGTCAAAAACAATGTTACTCTTTAGCTATCTAGACAGGGATCATGTCTGTAATGAAGACAATGACAAGAAGTAACAGCATGCACTTTTAGTGGAAGCCCTACAGTTGTCTGCAAAGATTAAGAATGGATGCAAAGTGCGTCAGCAGTAGGGCTCATGTTTTAAAAACACTGGTTTAACCTTTACATTGTCCTTGCTGTGTGTTGAGAGCAAGAAATGCAGAGGCAAATGAAAGCCTAAATATTCTCTTTCTGGCAACACCAGAAGCTGAAACTACTGAAGTGATATATGAACAGGGGCATTCAATATGCAGTGCCCTTGTTAAGTTTGTATTTCCAGAGAAGAGAAGAGAAGAGAAGAGAAGAGAAGAGAAGAGAAGAGAAGAGAAGAGAAGAGAGAAGAGAAGAGAAGAAATATCTTCAGAGACAGAGAGAGTCTTCAGGGGTCCCAGCAGGAGTCGCAGCCCCCTGTGTCTTCTCAGAATAAGGAACAGAGTCCGTGCAGGGAAGCAATTTGTTCTCTAATCAAAAGCTGAACTGACAGAAAAAAATGGGGGGGAAATGGACAGAGAGAGAGTGGTTTAAACACGAGTGCGGAAGCTGCTTTAACATGAACAGATCTACAGTATTATATAATGTTCAATAAAAAAAAAGCCCTTTTTCCAGCATGACTGGCATCAATGAAGAGAGGAGAGAGAGAGGCTCTGTGTCCTGGGAGTTACTGCAGAAACAACAAGGGAATAAAGGAGACGAGAGAATGGTTGAGAATAGTGACAGAAGATGGCAGAGGTTAAGAGACTGAAAGGAGGGAGAAGAAAGATTCAAAGAGAAGGGGGAAGGGAGAAAAGAAACGTTCAAGATTATTTCCTCAGAGAATAAGCATTATTATAATGTATTTCATTTGCATATAACACACATGTTCAAGGCATCACGCCTGCCATTATACAGCATGCACACATAACAGGCTCCATGTTTTACAAGGGTAAGATGCTTGCTTTCAACTTAAAAACCTGTATCCCCAAGTATAAGATTTCCCCACTCGTGAATTTTTTATCACAATGAGAGTTAATGTCAAGCAAATTCTGCAAAGCAGCGCTGCTGAACATATTTCTCTCTGACAAACTAATGCTTGGGCTGCTGCTTCAGGAGGAAAGTGTGTTTCAAGCTGTTGCTCTTTTTTTCTGTCTCAGTCAACCAGGCGCTGTCAGCAGTATGTAGCTTTGCTTGCTAGTGTGTGAGGGTGTTTGTGATTTTTAAGTGCAGTTCTTCAGTATTAAGTCAGTATTATGGCATCCAACAGTGATAAAAGCAGTTATCACACAGAACGCCGGCAGACTTTTTTTTTTTTTTTTCTTTCTCAAACATGTACAGTGAAATGCAGGTCAAGAAAGTATTTGATATATTATGTTGCATATTTCTGTTGGGAATCCTTGAGGGATGATATGAAAACATGAAATCAAGCGTTATATGCTTTTCCAGACATGAAGCAGTGACTTCAGCCCGGTGAAAAATGTTATACCAGCTCGCCTTTATCCCTTTGTCTCCCAGTTCTTGTCTCAGCTAATACCTGAGCCGTGGCCTTTCTCCCCGTCATGTGCTGGTCATGAGTTGTGAGGGAACAGTCAGGGTGAAGCCCCAGAGCTGCCCAGGGGGGCTGAAAGTCTGAGAGGGGGGTAAAACAGCGTGATAAGGGCTTAGACGGTCAAGTTCTGTGCGCCAAGCACCGACGTGGAAAGATTGACCGAAAGCCCCCCTGGAGAGGGCGACGGCGCAGGGGGAACAGAGAGGGGTCGAACATACCACAGAGGTACCAGGAAGGGAATCTTGATCCCAGGTCTTGTATGATCTCAAACTCTTGAGTTTAAGCAGATCTAAGACTGAGATGTTTGTTTATGAGAAAGAAAAGCTGCACCTCCTACACAGCGAGCTCTCAGGTTAGAGAGCGGCATGAAAAACAAAGCGAGGATGTGCAAAGACCAGAGTGGCAGCCGCGAGGGTGCAGAGTGGGTGCTGTGTGTGTGTCTCTGTGTGTGTGTGTGTGTAAATGAAACAGACAAGTGACAGGCAGATAAACACAGAGACAGAAATGTGTGCTGGTGGAGTACAGTTGGAGATTATTACAACCCTCGGGTTTACGAGGCAGAGTAGGCAGCGTTATGAAGGGTCCCACAGGGATTACTGCGCGTGCTTCAGGAAGAGGTTCACCACATTAGATTGTGGAGTTAATGAATCCCACCTGTCAAAGCACATAACAAATATCTGTGTACTCAAAAGATTTGGTCTGGTTTTTTTTTTCATCTCTCCAACCAAAAACCTGCTCATGCTCACTGAATCTTGTCATGGACTTGCTAAGACATTTTCCTGTCAAAAGAAGGCAAATGTAAAAACAGCATGGATAATAAGATGATCAGTAATTCTGCTGTCTAAACAAGTCTTCTCTGTCAGAAAAAAAAAAAGGAACACCCACACAGGAGCTGCGAGCTGTCCATGCAGCGATAATGACATTATTTTTCATCAAAGAGAAAGTGTGAAGCAGTGTCTCTCACTAGGAGGCCACCACCGGCAGCCAAGCTTCTGGGTAAGCCTGAGGACAGAAATAACATGAGGCGAAAGGAGAGGAGGAAAAAGAGAGAGAGTCAGCAGAGTGAGAGGGAGCCGAAGAAGAAGATATACATTTTACCTTTCTGAAAAGTATTATTTAAGCCCCCATCAACAGCTCTTCAAATTTTATATCAGGTCAAATATGTTTCATTAAAGCTGCAGTGGATCAATATTTTCATGACTGTGCTATGAAAAAAGGTCATATTTAATTGTCACCCGAGTCTGTAGAGATTAAAGTTAAGCAAGAAGCGTTGTTTCTTTTGCTACAGCCGTCAACTTTAATGTTTTGGGTCACTCCAACAGCTCTCGTCAATCTTGTTTGCTACATCCACAAAAAAAAAATCTGTTAGGTTCATGTTTGTTAACAGTCGAGCATTTAGAAGTTAAACAGCCAAATATTTCCCTCAAGAGGTGGCAGACAGACAGTCCTCTTGTAGACAAAAACAAGACTCATAGAAGCCTCAATAAAAAAATAAAAAAATGGTTATCTAATTCTTTCAAACCAATGAGCTGCTTAAAAACAACTTTTCCACATCAGCCTTCATATTTATTGCCCACAAGCCATGATTCAGCCAAACTGCATACTAGTCACTATAGAAAATAAACAAATAAATCTATCTGCTCTTTTTACCCCACCAAGGAGGTTTCATTTTCATTGCCTTTTGTGTTTTTCTGTTGTTGGTCTGCAGGTCTATACAGGAAAGCTACTGTCTTTCATGAACTTTCATGAAACTTGGGTGAAAGGTTTAACATTTGCCAAGAAAGATCCTCAACTTGTCATGTTCATGATATTTATTTCAGTCCAAACTGTTGATAACACATGTACATATGTAGAGGAGGTTTTTTTTTTGAAGTGTTGAATTTGTTTCTGCTAAATACAATTGGATGTACTATGTGTAAAAAAAAAAAAAAAAATCTGATTGCGCCATATGTGTGAAAAGAAATCACAGCAGAGCTAAGGTGCTGATGCTCCTAACGTATTTTGAGGAAATACAGCCAACTTAAGACGACGTGTTTTGAATGCCTATACTATGTCTTTTTCATGCTTACCCAAGAACCTTTGGAAGACTTTAAGAGGAGGGCTGTGGGTGTGTTTCTGTCCATAATGAGGCTGCCACAGTGTGCATGTGTTGCCTGTGTGTGTTCTGAGTGTCAATGACCCGGCTGATAAGAGGAGAGCAGACATGTTTACATTTCTATCAGCAGGAGGAACATCAAGAATAGGCCGAGCCAGCGTGATAGCAAGCACTCTCAAAACTAAGGAGTGACTCCTAACATTGTTTCAGAGGAGCGGCTCTGCTTTAGTTTACGGGCAGCTGGACACACTCAAGGTTTCAGAATGGGGGAAGTCAGAGGGTTGGACTGTGTGTTTGTGTTGATTCAGGATTACACTTGCTCACTTTAAAACGTCTTTTTAATTGCCTCACTTTATTTCTTATGAATCTTTTGTTTGACAGGAAAAACGGCAGAGCAATGACCAACAAACATGAGCAGCTGTGTGTGTGTGACACAGTTTGAACAGCAGCAGGTGTCCAGCTGACCCGGACAAAGACGACAAAGACAGATAAGAAGTGCAAAGACAAGACAAACACAGAACAATAACACGAGTTAGACATAACAGTCTTCATAGGTGAGGCTTAAAACAACAAGTCGATATTTAAAAGTGGTTACATGATATTAATAACAAAGTTTTCGGAGCATAATAAAAGAAACATTTGAATGTATGCAAAGACGTGTTGAGCAGTTTTAAGGCATTTACTGAGAGTTTTAGTGTTTGAAGCAAGGTTCTGTTTATTGTTACAATTTTGATGGTTAAAATTCTGTATATTATTTTAAATTATGGAAAAGGATAGAGACTGTCGAGTAAGGAAGGGGATTGTATTACACATGTTTGCATATAAAGGAAATTTACAAAAATTACTAAAAAAAAATTTAGAAAGAAGAGGAGAATGCTTAACTTTGAATCAATCTTGTGCTTCATTCAGCGTCACATTACAGTAAGAGGCCAGTACGCCAGGCCACACATCACCTGCATGGGTTTCTCTCTTGTCTGCAGACATTAGAAACTAATTCTAATAAATCAACAATTAACGTTTGAAGGCTCTGCTACAAAGGCCATCATCATGCATATATATCGACTATCATTTAGCAATAACAAAGCCCCTTCTGTAAGATTCCCAAGCAGCTGAGCTTTTCTCCATGTCTAAAAGGCTTTTAGATTCGATCCCATTTTCTTCCTTTCTC